TATTCAGACCAGGGCAAAGTGAAAACAAGTGGAGATTATATCAGGGGTCTCTTACCAACTCTCCACAGACTAAAGAAGCTACTTGGATGAGTAGCAACACATTTCAACCTTATTAAGAAAGAAGTTCAGTTGCCATGACTCAACTTCCAGATAACCTTACCTGGATGATTGAGAATCTTCACAAATAAACAGTACTTAATGTTTGGTTTGATGGACTGTATGGACTGTAGGATTTTATTGTACAACACATTAAGATATCGGTCAGTTGTGATTCTCTATACCTACAGTTGGAATCTATCCAGAATTTCTTAAAAAAACAGGGACAAACATATGTGAATAACTTCTATGTTTTTCATATTTTTTAGGACCAGCACTAACATACTGTACTTGTTTTAGATTATAATTCTCAATATTTATGTACTCAGGTGCCGATATTGTGAAATATGATGGAATCTACTCAAGGTATTTCACATCGTTCAAAGAAAATGGTAGATACAACATTAAAGTGCATGTCCAAGGAAAAGACAACACAGTCAGGCGGGGCCGCAGACAGAGCCAGGCCCTTTATGTACCAGGCTATGTAGAAAACGGTAAGAATTAATGAAATGACATTACTTTCTATAAAAATGTAGAAAATGAGAGTAAAAAATAAGGATAAGAATTAAAGTATGTAATAGGTACATTTAAGGAAATGCTTAAAAAGAAGGTGAAAGCTCTTGTGAAAATGCTTGGAAGAATCAAATCATCAGGAGTGGATGGAATACTGACACAACTATTCCAAGCTATAGAAAAAGAATCTGTCAAAATCCTAAAAAGAATATGCCAACTAATATGTAAAACAAAACCATGGTCCTTAGACTGGTAATGTTCAATATACTAATCTAATTCTAATCCCTAAGAAAGGAGGTGTTAAGGAGTTTGGTGATTATAGGACCATTGCATGAATGACTCATGCAAGCAAGGTGATGCTCAAGACGCTGGAGCAAACACTTGTACCATATATGAAGTGAAAGACGCCTGGTGTTCAAGTTGGATTCCAAATTGCAAGTATCTGTTGGCTACTGGAGCATATCAAAGAATTTCAGAGGCAAATCAGTCTATACTTTATAGATTACAGCAAAGTATTGGACTGTGTGAGTGACCAAAAGCTGTGGATTGTTCTAAAAGAAATGGGTATGCCTTAACACATGATTGTTCTGATGTTAACCTATATTGTGGACAAGAAGATACAGAATAGGAAGAAACAGAATTGTTTCCTATGGGCAAAGTTACCAGACTAGTGTGTATTTTATCTCATTATCTGTTCAATTTGTACACACAATGTATCATAGGGAAAACTAGATTACATTTAGATGAAGGAGGAGTGAAAATTGTTGAAAGAAACATCAATCATGTATGGTACGTATATGGCATCATATTACAGGCAGAAAACAGCAATGACTGTTTGTTGGTGCTGCTCCTCCTCCTCCTTCTCTCCTCCTCCTCTTTCACTAACTATACCCTTCTAGTAGGAAGCTGAGACCACAGATTGATAGAAAAGTCCCACACTCATAAACTCAGACCCTCAATCATGTATGGTACGTATATGGCATCATATTACAGGCAGAAAACAGCAATGACTGTTTGTTGGTGCTGCTCCTCCTCCTCCTTCTCTCCTCCTCCTCTTTCACTAACTATACCCTTCTAGTAGGAAGCTGAGACCACAGATTGATAGAAAAGTCCCACACTCATAAACTCAGACCCCGGAAGAAACCATAACAAAAAATAAACCATATTTCAAAAAGAGAAAGAAAAACACAGGAAGTGTACCTTTTGTACTTGGATATACCAAGCCAAGATTTAGGTTGCTTGGAGGGTGAGGAAAATACTTGTACAGTGGTGCCTTGACTTACGAACGCCTTGACTTGCTACCATTTCAAGTTACAACTAGCTCCGGCCACAAAATTTTGCTTCAACTTGCGGCCGGAGCTTCCAGTTATGAACAGAAAAAGGCAGGGGGAAAAGATGCATGGAAAAACACTGCAAGACCCATCAGAAACACAATTAATCTGTTCTGGCTGAAGGGGGGGGGGGGAAGAAAAGAAAACAAACCATGCAAGCCCCTTCGGAAAGCCAAAAAAAGCAAGCTAGAGAGTGTGCATTCGGAGGCGGCTTCAGACTGCTTGGTACTGCTTTCTGCTTTTTAAAGTGCCTGTTCTGAGTGACTACAGGGTTTTGCAGTGTGGGTTTGGGCTGGGGGAGTTATGTTTCTGTGCTGTGATGGGTCTTGCAGTCTTTGTTTGCTTTTTGGTGTTGTTTTTTTCCGGCTGGAACAGATCAATCACATTTCTGATGGATCTTGCAGTGTTTGTTTCCTTTTCTCTGTGGTTTTTTTCCATGACTGGAATGGATCAATTGCATTTCTGATAGGTCTTGCAGTGTTTTTTGTTTTTCGGTGTGTGTGTTTTTCGGCCAGAACGGACTAACCACGTTTGAATTTATTCCTATGAGAAATGGCTCTTTGAGTTACGACCATCTTCCTGAACCAATTAAGTTCGTAACTCAAGGCACCACTGTACCAAGATGACAAAGATGTACCTACTCATTTTGGACCAAGAAGATAGGTGGTTTGAGACAGGGGTCAGGGAGGCCATATATGTGCAGATGGAAAATCCCTCACTCAACAGGGGTCCTAATTTTTGGGAATTAAAATTGAGACCTGCTTGTTTGACTATCTTATTAGGGGAGGAGGAATGTCAGGCAGAGAACCTCTGCTGGGCTGGATCAAGATATTTCTTTTCATAATAATAACATAATGTCAAATGCTATGCTGGGTTTTGTGCAGTACATGGTAACAGTTACCCTTCCTATTCAGTTGTCTCATGCCTGCACAGAGCAATTGAATGAGAATAATACCATGTGGTAATGGATCAATGTATCCATGTGTATGAATGAGGCCTCAATGTGGTCATGGTGAGAAGGCTTAATGCACTTTAGTATTTTCCCCAGCCGAAATGGATCAATCGCATTTCCGATATGTCTTGCAGTGTTCTTTGTTTTTCGGGGGGGAGGGGTCCAGCTGGAATGGATTAATCGTGTTTCAATGCATTCCTATGGGAAATGGTGCTTTGAGTTATGACCAATTTGAGTTACAACCAATTAAGTTCGTAACTCAAGGCACCACCGTAACTTCAGTGATAAAGCAGGTACATTTAAAAAAACAATGCCCTGTCTGGGAGAGCCTTTAGTGTGCTAAGTGAGTGTGTTTGGAACCTATGAAACATTTCCCTAATTTTTGGGAATTAAAATTGAGACCTGCTTGTTTGACTATCTTATTAGGGGAGGAGGAATGTCAGGCAGAGAACCTCTGCTGGGCTGGATCAAGATATTTCTTTTCATAATAATAACATAATGTCAAATGCTATGCTGGGTTTTGTGCAGTACATGGTAACAGTTACCCTTCCTATTCAGTTGTCTCATGCCTGCACAGAGCAATTGAATGAGAATAATACCATGTGGTAATGGATCAATGTATCCATGTGTATGAATGAGGCCTCAATGTGGTCATGGTGAGAAGGCTTAATGCACTTTAGTAACAATGAGGAGAAACAAAAGTAATCTCTATGCATCACCATTGTTTGTTGTATACAGTGGTGCCTCGCTTAGCGATATGACCAATTTGAGTTACAACCAATTAAGTTCGTAACTCAAGGCACCACCGTAACTTCAGTGATAAAGCAGGTACATTTAAAAAAACAATGCCCTGTCTGGGAGAGCCTTTAGTGTGCTAAGTGAGTGTGTTTGGAACCTATGAAACATTTCTCTAATTTTTGGAAAACAATGGGGTTCGTAGAAAACAGTGGGTGGCCGTTTTGTTTACCTGGCGGCGATTTTGAAACTGCTGATCAGCTGGCCGAAAATGGGGGCTTTGCGATGATCACTTCCCTGCGATCATCACAAAGTGAAATTTCCCCATAGAGACCATCGCAAAGCGATTGCTTTTGCGATCGTAAAAACATCATCGCAAAGCGATTTCTTCGCTAAGTGGAGCGATCGCTTGATGAGAAGAAACAAAAGTAAACTCTATGCATTGCCATCGTTTGTTGTATATTCTGAGCCTACTGCTGAACATGGTAGTCTACAAATAGTAAAAACAACATGCCTTTTGTGCTTATAACCTAAAAGTAGAAGAAATGGGAATTAGAAGAGGAGTGAAGTAATGAAACAAACGTTGATCAGAATGAACAATCAGGAATAGTTCAAAGAAATTTAAGAGAGAGGAAAGTCTCAATATTTTTACATTCTTCACTTATTCTTGGGAGGGGGCCCCAAGAAGGGACTGCAACCCAGGTGCTCTGAGCCCATCACTCTGTACACTACACCACATTGAGTATCACACAGAAGCACTATAAAACCTCTTAATATATGAAATATGTAAATCATATTTTTTTTTCCTTTCTATTTTCCAAAAAAGGGTTAGTGTTGTTCGGGATGCAACTTGCCATATGTTATCTGAACACTGTTTTGAAGAGGGTGTTTCATTACTTCTTCATTTTGTAGATGTTCATATCCTAACTAAAAGTAGCCCATGAATGAATGAGTAACCTGGTCAAATAATTGAGGAGTTTAACGCCATTTTATTTGCCAAAATATGATCAATTGCATTTTTAATATTTTGCCAAAAACCTTCTAACGAAGTGCATATCTACCAAATATAACAAAAGTCGGCAATGGGAGCTCACCATTTCCAACATTTTCTATTTTAAAAACCCTTTTTGTCATAGGTGTAATACAAATGAATGCACCAAGGCCTGAAGTAAGTGAGGATGAAATCCAAACAAATCTTGGAGATTTCAGCAGAACCGCATCAGGGGGTTCTTTTGTGATGTCAGGGGTCCCTCCTGGAACTCCCCCTGATGTCTTTCCACCCTGTAAAATCAACGACCTTGAGGTAGAGATCAATGATGAGGATGAGTTTCTTTTGTCCTGGACAGCTCCTGGGAATGATTACGATATAGGAAAGGGTAAGTGAAATTATATGCCAAGCAAAGGACTCTTTTTAGGTCATCAGACAAACACTGTGAGATTTTTGTTTGGTTTTATTGTTGTTGTTGGGTTTCGTTTGAGGCTTTTTTGTTTTGTTTTTGTTTTGCAAAACAAAGGAGAAAGTCAGCCACTGATCTCACTTACAGTGACATTCTCTTAATATCCAAGTGTAGAATGGCGCCACTGGTATGGCAGTTCCCTAGAATGCACCACTATGGTCCATTCTTACTTTGGGTTGTGCAAACGAAAGGGGGAGGGTTGAACATCTTCCAGACTATGGTAAAATGTGTTTCACGGGTAAATCCTGCTGCATGTGAATGTTTATTTACAGCATAGGGTGTTTATGCTCTGGAGTTACTTTATATAATGCCAATGAAGGCTCACATTATAATATCATGCTACAACTGATAATGGTGATCCATTACCAGTTGTACCATGATATTACAATGTGAGCCTTCATAGGAGACAGGAAGTTTGAAATGCACCCAAAGGAATCTTGGTCATTCCTGGTCAGTCTTACCATAGGACAATTGATACTGCCACCTCCAGTGGTTGATCTTGGGAGATAAAGTTGCTGGAAGACAGAGCTACATGTGTGACGTGGCTTTACTTCCAAGCTCCAAGCTTGCTTGGTGTCTTCAGATGTTGTCCCATGGCCAGAGCTGGTGTAAAATTTGTCTTCCAGTCTAGCTAACCTATTAACTTATGGAACTGGGCAACAGTATGTTCAGGAAGCAAAATATATTGGGCATGCTGGGATGCAGTATGTTGCCCCTTCAGCTCAGATATGGCATTAGTTTTTGAACATGACTAAATATCTGTACTCTTAAAAACACATTGTCAACTCTTCATTTTGCAGCTGAAAGGTATGAAATCAAAATGAGTGACAACCCCTTGGAATTAAGAGATGCTACCTTTAATAGTGCCACTTCCCTTAACATATCTGGTCTGACGCCTGAGGTTGCTGGGGTCAAACAATACTTCCAGTACAAGCCTGAAAACTTCACAAAAGAAAATGGCACCACACTCTGCTTTGCCATCCGCGCCACTGATAACAGCAACAACACCGGAGACGTATCTAATATAGCAAGGGCTGTTCTACTCCTTGCCCCATTACCAATTATACCAACAAGTCCAGCTGACACTACTCTTTCTCATGGGGAAACCAACTACACTACTGCCTCTACTCATGTGCAAACAACCTATACTAAAGGTGAAAACAACAACAGTGTGCTAAATAATATAACTGTAATCGTCATCATAGTATGTATCACTGTAATTATTATTTCTGCCATTGTAAGTATAACTATTTGTGTTCTACAAAAGCGAAAAAGCAGACATCCGCAGACTGGGATGTAATAATAATCACTGTGGGGAAAAATAGCTGTCCCAAAGTCACCAGGGAGTGAGTACATAGGCATTTCCCCTCATTTGGTGCTTCTTACTTTCCTGAGGCCAACCAAGTATGATAGCTTTGAAAGCATCTGTCTAAAATTGAGTTTTCCCTAACCACTTATGAAGTAAATACTGGAATCCTGTTTTTACTGCAAAACCAATGTGTAGATGAGTGTGTTAAACTCTCAGGTAAAGGGGGTTTGCCTCTTCCCATTCTGCCCTCCCAGGCACTTCTCTGCTTTTCCAGCTCCGGGCCTGAGTTGGAGAAAGGCTTGAGAGAAGTTACACACTGTGAAGATTTGACTCCATGAATGGGGCTTACTTAGAATTCAATAAGTAGGCCTGACACTGGTACATTTAATTTGGCTTTCAGAGTTAAATCCCACAAAGACTTTCAAAGGCCCATCTGGGAATGCCTCCTTGGGAAATGCATGTGACTTAAGCTAAATTCTGTTCCTATATCTTTCCTATAGGTGCATAATTTTATACAATTATGAGGTGAATGAAGAGATAGTTGTAGGTTTCCTTTGTATTATTCAGTTTGTTGAGTTCTCTCAGCCTCTGAACCTAAATAAATGAAAGTGATTCAAAATCTTGTTTGGCTTCTGGTGTTTGTTTACTGGAAATTCTGAACAATGGAGAATTATAACTTTTGTTCATCCAATCGGAGAGCAGAATCACATTCTATAAACAATATCAGGTCATTACAAATAAGACATAAGACATAAGACATAAGTAGGTCATTACAAATAATTGCACCCCTCTGTTAAATCCCAACATTATTCCTCCATAGTAAGATATATTATTTCCCCTTCAGATTTATTACATTGTGTGAAACAAGAAGTGCATAGTTTTGGATTAGGTCAACTATTTTTTCCTTATATTACAAATTTGGATTAGATTTAGCAAACACTTATTTGCCATAATCTTATTGCGCAACTTTTATGTTGAGCTACTGTGATAATGTCATCACCTGCAGCAATTTGGTAGGAATTAAAAGCTTCCTAAACCCCCACCCATTTGAGAGATCTCTAGGGATCCTTTTCATCCTGGTGAAGACTTTGTGAGCCTCACAACAGGCAAGAAAAGTTTTTAATGTCTAAAAATCATCATCACAGGTCCCCATTCTGGTCCCAGTTTAAACTGATCAGTGCCTACTTTCTACCAGTCAGTACAAACATATATACACAGAACATATTTTGCTGTGCCTCAGTACTGTTCTTACACACCTAGAAATAAATAATTTCTTACAAAGTTACATCTTGTTTGGTCTTCGGAATTAAATCTTAGTAAGCTTCAAAGGCTTCTGTGGGTGTGAACTCAGATTATGTTTCTAGTACTTAAACTAGGTGGATAGTTTTTAAAAGAAAAAGAAAGGAACTTCTCTGTGCACCATTCTGATTGTTCAGTTCTTAGAGGTTTCGTACTATATACATATAATATTAAACCTGTAAGGTCCACCTGTGATAATGGGTGAAGAAAGACGGCAGAAGTGGGATTTGCACTCACCCCCTCCATCCTTTGTCCATCTAATGAGCCTATTCAGACCAGGGCAAAGTGAAACCAACATGGAGGATATATTAGGGGTCTCCTGTCAACTCTCCTCAGACTGAAGAAGCTACTTGGATGAGTAACAAAACATTTTAATCTAATAAGAAAGAAGCCCAGTTCCCATGACTCAACTTCCAGATAACCTCACCTGGATGAATGAGAATCTTCACAGATACTATATACATATAATTAGAGGACGGCTACATGGCTATCTAGCCCATTGTTTGGTTCATTCCAGGGACAGGGTGGTGTGCTGATTATGTCTTTGCTGAAACCAGACGACCACCAGAGTATTCCTACTTGCACCTTTCTGGGTCCCTGCCAGGGGCTTTTTTCTTTTCTTTCTTTTTTTTGTACAGGTAGGAGTGCTTTTTTTGTACAGGTAGGAGGGGACGTGGTGGTGCTGCGGGTTAAACTTCAGAAGTCTGTGCTGCAGAGTCAGAAGACCAGCAGTCGTAAGATTGAATCCATGCAACGGAGTGAACTCCCGTTACTTTGTCCCAGCTCCTCTCTAACCTAGCAGTTTGACTCCTTTTGAGGGGGGGTACAGGTAGGAGTGTTCTATTTCAGTTTATCTCAAGAGCATGCAGTTTCTCAAAATGAACTCAAGGAAGCTCTCCTTTTTCAATTTGCCAATATTGTGAAGTGGCAAGCGCTGGCGCTACGGCTTGAAAAACGGGATGCGCACCGCCCCCTGGAGTGGGACATGACTGGACTAAAAATGTCAAGGGGAACCTTTACCTAGGAGTGCTCTATTTCAGCTTATCTCCAGAGCATGCAATTGCTCAAAATGAACTCAAGGAAGCTCTCTTTTTTCAATTTGCCAATATTGTGAAGTGGCTTAATAAGAGAGCCACTTCATGATATTGACAAATTAAGCAGTTCCTTGGGTCTATGGAGGGGCCAAGGGAAATTTTAAAAAAAATGTATTTAGGGAAGTACTACACCACTTTAAAAGGATGGACATCAAATGGAAAACTTCATCTCACACCCTCCCTGCACTAAAGAGATCAGTGGCTGTGCAGACAAGTCTTTAGTTCCATTCCGCCCTCCCTCATATAATCCTTTACTGGAATTGCACACCACTGCATCCAAAACCATGAAAACTTACTATTTATCCAGAGAGCAAAACCACATGTTATGCAAGGTATAAAAATACTGCCAAAAGGACCCACCATATCAAACACTGAATGTATATTTGATAATGTGCAGTGACACTCCTGCTCATTTGAATCAGCTGATGCCATTATGCTGTGTGTAAACTATTGTGGAATTTGTGATTCTTTTACTGTATTTTGGATTGCCATATGACAAGTGTCTTAAAGGTATAAATGAAAACACAGAGAAGTATTTTTGCCATTGCCTTCTGTACGGTACTAACAAGCGTTAGCATGAGGTTCTCTGCCATTGTCTACGAAAGATCCTCTGCCAGTATTTTTGGATTGTCATATGACAAGCATCTTAAAGGTATAAATGAAAATAAACAGAAGTATTTTGCCATTGCCTTCTGTATTCTACTAACAAGAGTTAGCTTGAGGGTCTCTGACATTGTCTACGAAAGATCCTCTGCCAGTATGAGTGTCTCTGTCTGCAGATGAGACTAATTCCTAAATCAGATTAACACATCTTAGATTGGTCTCTCGCCTTTGACCATTCCAACTTGTATGATGTGTTCACAAGTCTAGACTCGTATCAGAATCCATTTTATTTAGTGTCATTTGTAAGCCACCTTTCTCACAATTAGCGGACATTGGCTCACAATGTTAAAATTTAGTCTCCTGATCATATTGCTCTCTGTTTTCCTGATAGATTCAGCCCCTCTCACCACTTTAAGGTGCGCATCCAAGCCTTAGAGAGAAACCTCAAATTCTGTGAAATCAGCAACCTGTTAATTCCAAATACATGTTTCAAGCAGAGATGACTGTACATGGACATTATAGAAATCAAATAGAACTTATAAATGGAAACAAAACTGGGAGAACCTCTATTCTCTCTGTAAACAAGAAAAAAAGAAGACCAGGAATGGACTTTGGTAATGACCACGAACTATTAAGCAAAAATATAGCTTGAGGAGAAAAGTGAAACAATAATAGCACCAAAATATATGTAGTTTAAACAATGCTACAGCAGCATTTTAAAGATAATATGCGTGTGTTTTATGAACACAAGGGGATTAAAGAGCTTCCTGCACAGGAGAACTTCAACTATATAACTTTTGTTCTAGAACTAAGGCCCTGGTGACACAAGGGAAATGTTTTCTAGTTCTTTCAATAGTTTCCATACCTCTGTTGTACTGAATACTGTACAAGGGAAATGTTTTCTAGTTCTTTCAAAAGTTTCCATGCCTCTGTTGTACTGAATCATTGTCACATGATTTACATCCTGGGATGAACACCCTATGACCATTTAGCAATACCGATTAATTTCCTCCTATTTGAATCATTATGACCAGCTACTCCATGGTGCCAGTTTATTTTCTCTCTTGCTTCAAGGGGCAATTTAGTCTCTTGACTTATTTTTGTAAGTAATATTTATTGATACATTGATATATCAGAAAAAAGTCTCCCTCTGAGGTGCATGCCTGCATGAGAGTCCACACTGGGATGACCTCCCATTCAGTCTTGCCTGGTGTCTCAGTCCCTGGCACCTGATCTCTGCTCTGTTTGGGCCTGCAGACCCTCTTCCTTCCTTCTTTAGTTCTACCCACCAGGAACTGTGCAGTTTACATCTTGCCCAGTCTCTACCATTCCCGGAATACATTCTGCATTAGCTGGACACTGCTGCCAACCTTTCAGTCGCCCCTGGATCCATGAAAATCAGAGGTGCCGCTTTGGGCTTTTAGGCTCTAAAGCACCAAAACAAAATTTATAACATTGCAGAGCTCCAATTTGATCCAAGCACCACTTTAGGTTGGCTCAGAAACAGACAACCACCCCACTTAGCATTATTTTTCGAATAAATTCTGAATCTAAAACACCTTCCAAGGTAGCATACCACTACAGAACCACCATTTTGAAAACGGGAGTTCTGAAGAGGAAAATTAATAATGTATTCCAGTGCCTGTGTTGCTCTTTGCTGTTTTGTCAAAATCTGGCCCTGCCATTAGGCAGAACAAAGCCGACACCTTAGGCTTTAAAAAGTAGCAAAATATTAATTGTTGTTGTATTCTCACTGCTAGACATGGCAATTGTTCTACAGTATCTTTCATTGAGTTTTTACCATTTTAGTGTGTTACATTGTAGTCCTACATGCTTCCTTTCTCAATGGAAGGTCACTTAAGGGTATTTCTGTTCTTTGAATAAATTATGTTTGTTCTCTGCCTATCTGGGTTGAAACCAAATAAATGAGGCTAATTTGGTGTTCGCTTACTGGAAATACAACTTTTGACCTTAAATGGATAATCATGAGATCATCATAAAGTTCAATGGCAAATGTGTTTTTAGTCATTACCATTACCCATTTTATTTTTATTATAGAAGGAATTCCTGTATAGAAATGAACCTTGGCCAATATGATTCATCGAAAGAATTCAAACCTTGATATCTGCCTGAGGTACATAATTCTCCTATTAGCATCCACACACCCAGAAATTCCGTACTCTGATCCAAGGTTCAAAGTATCATCTAACACAAAGCTGTTAACAAATTCTTATAACAGGTCTTAATACTAGCATTATGTCAAAGTTGGTGATTTGAAAAAGATCCCTCAGGTATGTCTTTGAAGCAAAATTGTGAAGGGGCGAAAAGTTTCTGAGACAGTGAAAGGAGTTGTCTTCAGGAGTTGTCTTCAGATTTTCAAGTCATAAACCTATTACAATATTTACAGGAAGGCAAATCACAGTATATGCTAGGGTTATATGGTAGGAATTATACTAGAAATGAAAATGTATTATATTTGGCTTCTATTTATTGTTGGTAATGTGGGGCTAGGTAGGGAAGAAAC